AGTGGTAGAGTGGTTTTCTAGCAAGCATGAGGCCCTAAGTTATATCCCCAGTACCTTAAAAACAAGAAAGAAAAAGATTTTCTGTTTTTTGAGTTCAATCAGAGGAAATAACAGCAGGATCTAGGTGTTTGGGAGGCTGAGACAAGAGGTTCTCAAGTTCAAGGTCAGCCTGGGCAATTTAATTCAGCAAGAGCTTCTCTGGAAATTTAAAAACTTAAGAAAGGGAATTAGATGAGTGGTAGAACACCCCGGGGCGGGGGGGGGAAAAAAAAAAGGGGGGGGGGGGGGGGGGGGGGGGGGTGACAAAAACCTAGTAGGTAGGTGCACTGGTGAACTCTGCCCTTTCTATGCATTATGGTAAAAGAGACTCTCAAATATTCAGACCTTGTTGATCTCATTTGAGCCAACTGCATTGGAGAAGCCTTTGTATGCGCTCTGTGTGTGAAAAGCAGAGGTTATATTGGTTTAAATCTTCCTAAGTTCTTCATTATTAATACTGTAAAAAAAAATTTTGGAAGTACCTAGAAAAATCAAAATAGGAAGTGGTCTGATTGAATAAGAATTCAGACATGATAAAATGTTATATTAATGATAAAACTAGAACATTTTAAGCCGGGCGTGGTAGCACACACCTGTTACCCCAGCTACTTGGGAGGATTTTTTTAGGCCAGTGTAAGCAACTTAGTGAGACCCCTGTTTCAAAATAAAAATAATTAAAAGGGCTGGAAACGTTGTTCAGTGGAGTCAGTCCATAGTACCACAAAAAAAAATAAAGCAAGAGGGGCTGGGGATGTGGCTCAAGCAGTAGCGCATTCGCCTGCCATGCGTGCGGCCCGGGTTCGATCCTCAGCACCACATACCAACAATGATGTTGTGTCTGCCGAGAACTAAAAAATAAATATTAAAAAAAAAAAAAAGAAAGAAAGAAAAAACTAAAACATTTTATATTGGTCAGTAAAATATGGTTTGAGAAAATTTCAAAAAGGTATTAAGCATTTGGCCTCCCCCCACACCCAGCCTCATATAAGTCAGGGTCTCAATATGTTGCCCAGGCTGGACTCTTGCCTCAATCTCCCAAATATTTAGGATTATAGGCACATGCCACCATGCTCAGCTCAAATACTTAGCTTTTAAAACCCCTTCATTAGACCTACTTTTACAGCCCTACGTATAGGAAATAGTACTTAGGAAATCATTATAACCCATTGTTGCAGGCTTACTCTCTGAACTCAGTCCCATCCTGAAGAGGGAGAAGGAATAGCTCATCATGTCAGCTAATCTTTTCTTGTCTGAAATGCCTTTGGTTCTCCTTGTATCATGTGATAATAGAGCTACCATACCCTTTGTAGAGTAGCAGGTTACCCTCACAAAGAGAACAGTGAGGGCCCAATTCTTAACAAAGAGCATCTGTGGCAGGCACTCCCAGGAAGCTGCTGTGTACTGGGGGGAAGGAACATCCTGCAAGGAGCCTGGGCTTCCCCTCACTTAGTCTTGATTGTGCTATTTTCGTTTTCCTGGGGACTCAGCCAAAAGATGTACTGTGGACAGTTAGAAATGGATTGATGAAATGTGCTCAAGATTGGGTGTCCATAGGTTCCTTTCACAGCTTCTTCTAATATCCCAAGGATGAAAATGAAATGTTTAACTAGTATTCTATTAGACATGATGGATTTAAGTCTTTAGTAAAATATCAAATAAATCTGAGAGACTGTGAGGGATTTTATACTAGCTAAACCTAATTTTAACAAACCGTTTCATATTTCAGGCTTCAGATGTCTGCTGTTTTTTTTTTTTTTTCCTTCCTTGTATGTAGGACAGACTCCCCACCATCCTATGCTTTGCTACTTCTGTTTTGAAGTGATGTCTCTCTCACCTCCTACTTCTCCCTATCTACTGGGGAAGAAAATGCCTTTTTTTTTTCTTTTTTTTCTTTTTGTAGTGGGGATTGAACCCAGAGGCACTTAACCACTAAGCCATATACCCAACCCTATTTTGTATTATATTTAAAGACAGGATCAGGATCTCACTGAGTTGCTTAGCTTTTGCTGAGGCTGTCTTTGAACTTGCAGTCCTCCTGCCTCAGCCTCTCGAGCTACTGGGATTGCAGGTATGCGCCACTACACCCAGTTCCCCGAGTTATTTTTAATAGAAAATATATACTTACCCTCTATTTTGTTTAGTAAGAATTCCTCAGGGATTTCAGGTTTCTGTGGGTCATACTTCTTTGTACTGGTAAGAATTAGTAGGGTAGACACTCACTCAGAAGTGTCTCATCTCCTTCCCTGTCTGCTCTCTAATTCTACTGCCCCAGGTATACCAGCCCCATGAGCTATGAAGCATATGACAGCAGTAACAGGACAGCACTCACTCTTGGCACATTCTTTGCTTGCCTGAGATGTTTGCGTATGGTTCAGAAGAGGAAAGTAATTATTTTTCCTTTAGCATCCTTTCTTCTTTGCTGCCATCCTTCCAAAAAGCCATTTTTCTTTCATTGCCTAGAGAGCCACGTCCCAATGGCTCTATGACCCTCTCTGTGACAGTAGGATAGAGAAACACTTTCTTTGGGAAGGTTTTAAAATTTGCAGTAAGTGAAAACAAAAGGTTTTTTGGTTGGTTGGTTGATTTGCTGTTGCCTTGAGAAACTCAAAATTACGTTATCCAACTATTGCCATGCGGATATAGGGAAATTTAGGTAATTGGGCCAGTGCCACTGAGCCTGCAACTTCAGAAAAGGCACCGTTTGCCTAAGAGCAAAATCCTGTGAGCTCATCCCAGTGCATGATGGACAGTCATTACCCCATGGATCTGTCAGCACGAATGCTGCTCTCTTCATGATTATTTATGTTGGTATTAGAGAGGGATGGTCCTGGGAATTGAACCTAGGGCCTTGCACATTATTACCACTGAGCTATAACCCGGGAATCATTTATTTATTTGTTTGTTTGTTTGTTTGTTTGTTTTGGTGGCAGGGGCGCAGAGTAGTGTAGTGCAGAGAGAATTGAACTTTGAGGAATTTTGGATCTAATTTACAATTCCTTCTATGATTCTATGACCATAAAGTAGTCTGTTGAGGGCTGGGGTTGTGGCTCAGTGGTAGAGCGCTTATGAGGCCCTGGGTTTGATCCTCAGCACCACATAAAGCATAAGTAGACCTTATTATCCACAAAAGGATAAATAGACATCATTACCTTAGTACATGTATGAAGATATGAATGATGTGATGCTACTTGGTGAACAGAGATACGAAAAATTGTAATCTATCTGTGTAATATGAATTGTAATGCATTCTGCTGTCATAACAAAATTTTTAAAAAGGATAAATAAAATAAAGGTATTTAAAAAAAAGAAATCTATGGATTTTTCTGAGATGCTTTTATCCTCTATAAAATGAGAATATTGGAGAAGCTAGTGACATAATAAGGCACTTTACCAAATAAAGACTTCCTCTGGTTATACTGAAAACCCTAAATAGGTAGGCAACTATTTAACTTTACTTAGTATAATCTCAGGAAACTGAAGCTAGGGGCATGCTGAATAACTAACCTAGGGTAGAATGAAATCAAAGTGATTTTGCAGCTGTTTAGTTTCCAGGCTGCATCATCTGTAATTTCCCTGTTGATGGTACTGGGTTGCTACTGACTGGGATTGTCCCATGGACGCAGTATTCAGTCAAGAGTTTTGGCAAATCATACTTTACTATAGACATCAGAATATAAAACTCTGTCCTATGAGAAGTGATTGAGACCTAACTGTTGTGTGTCATGTCACTTATGTGAGCACACACCTGGAATATTCTTCCTATTTCTTTCTCCCTTACCCAGTATTGGCTCTGGCTTCTTTGTAAAGGTATTCTTCACAGCTCTATGTTTAAGTTTTCTAGAGTGAGAGACTGACAAGATGTTCCTTCTAGCTCATGTAAAGCTCTGTCCAATCTGAACTTGGCAGGAGATGTGCCCTCCTAGCATGTACCCAGGCTAGAATTTTGTATTTCTGACCTTAAAAGTAAGCCTCTGCCTACAGCTATGACTGCCTTCATGCTACAATGACAGAGTTGACTAGTTGTTCCAGAAGCATATGTCCAGCAGAATCTAAAATATTTATTGTCTCTTTAAAGAAGTTGTTTGCTGAAATTTCTTTTGTAGTGGGACACTGGGAATTGAACTCAGGGGCACTCAACCACTGAGCCCCATCCCCAGGCCTGTTTTGTATTTTTATTTAGAGACAGGGTCTCACTGAATTGCTTAGGGCTTCCCTAAGTTGCTGCGGTTGGCTTTGAACTCATAATCCTCCTGCCTCAGCCTCCCAAGCTACTAGGATTACGGGCATGCGCCACTGCACCTGACTGAAAATTCTTAAAGCTCAGTGTGTAACTGAATACAGGAAATATTTTAGTTTGTTTCTTGTCTCTGAGGTCTCCTGTCATTACTTTGAAAACACTTGGAAGAGATGGAGTTGTCTATTTCCCCCTTGTGAATCTCTCAGGTTTGTGGTTCATCATAGGCTTATTAGGGAGAAATTTTTTGTGGATAGGACCTGGAGATTTAAATCAGAATCCTTGTTTAGTGGGTTTAAGTCAGACCTTTCTTCAAAGTCTGTACATGAAGCAGTCTGGACTAAGCTGCAGTTCTTGGACTGTGAACTAATTTCCCAGCAAAGTTCTCTGTGAAACTGTGTGTGTCCTCATGAAGATGTTGGACCATCCACTGTTCACCCAAACTAACTACAATGAATATTTTCTTTTAGGTGTGCTTTCTTTGTAATTGCTTCTTTACCACTACCTGCCTATGCCAGAGTTTAGAGTAGATGTTCCTCATTAGCTGCTCCCGAAATGAATGAACAAATAAAAGTTGATCATAGAGATTATGAGTTATCACTGTTAAATTTCAGATCCTTGGGAGGTTTGGTATTTGTTTGTATTTAATAGTTTCATGCATTGAGTTGATCCATTTCTACTGCCCTTTCCTAGTGTACTTAACAATACTTTGAATCTCTTTCTACAGGTCAGATACCAGGACCAGGTTCCATGATGCCTGGGCAGCCCTTGCCAGGCCGCATGATTCCCACTGTGGCAGCCAACATCCACCCTGCTGGGAGTGGCCCTGCCCCTCCTGGAATGCCTCCTATACCAGGAAACATCTTGGGACCCCGGGTCCCCCTCACAGCACCAAATGGCATGTGTAAGTAGCACAGTAGGGAGACATGTTACTTCAGGGTCTGCCTTGGGCACTATAAATAAGGGAGGAAGGCTTTGATTTCTCAGAACAAAAGTCCATGGATGACCCTGAGATTTGGCAGGTCCATGGACAGTGCAGTCTGTGACAGTGTGTTCTAAAAGATCCATTCTTGATCACTGATCTTTAGTACCCCTGATGGGCAGGTTGTAGGTGTGGAATGCTTCCATGCAATAAGGCTGCACTCTCAGCACGGAGATCTGTGAGAAAGTCAATAAGATATTCTTCTCCCACTCCTGTTTAAACCCATCTGGGTCAGGTGTGGTGGCACAGGCTTAGAATCCCAGCTTCAAAAGTGGCAAAGGCAAGGATCCCAAGTTTAAAGCCATTCTCAGCAACTTAGCAAGACCCTGTCTTAAAATAAAAAGTAAGAAAAGGACTGGGGATGTACCTCAGCGGTAGAGCACTCATCTAACAATCATGAGGCCCTGGCTTCAGTCCTCAGTACCTGCCTTCCCCACAACACACACACTTTGAATCTCAACAGACACATAGAGTTACTGATTGTTACTTTCCCTGTACAAGCCTTTTAAGCATAAAGGATTCAAAGTGGTGAGTATAAAGAAGAAAGGAAACCAGTTTGGAGTAATAATAACAAATAAGTTTCTTGTAGATCTTTTTCTTAATATATTGATAGTGGCTGCATAGAATAAGGAGGGAATATTCAGGAGCTGCGTAGAGGAGGAATGTAAAGTCCGGCGAACCCAGTGGAAAAACACTGGTACTCCTCAAGAGCACCTGTTTGAGGGTGTGTGCGGAGGCCCAGCAATTTCTCCCATAAGCCCTTACTGTGCTCCAGCCTTGGCCTCCAGAGGTTTGCTTCCAAGGCTCTGGCCACACTTTACTCCTGTAGACTTACTCAGTGAGAGTGATCCCACAGTGTATCTATTGATCAGATACCCCAGCCACATCCATAATCTTTGGTTCATTTAGAAGTTCATACATGTTGCAAGAAATTATCTCCTAGGGGCTGGGGATGTGGCTCAAGCGGTAGCGCGCTCGCCGGGCATGCCTGCGGCCCGGGTTCGATCCTCAGCACCACATACAAACAAAGATGTTGTGTCCGCCAGTAACTGAAAAATAAATATTTTTAAAAAAAAAAAGAAATTATCTCCTATTCATAAGACAGAAATAATAAGAAACATAAGAATCCCTGACCTTTAGAAGCTTTAGTTGAGAAAATAAGAAATGAAAAGTTGAACAAGATTTACTGAGGTTATGGGAGATTACAAGAGTGCCTTGAATGCACTCTAGTTGTCTAGGACACTTCCTAGAGGAGAAAGGCAGATTTCATGTACAAAGACATTCTTCTCTGGATCCATCCACATGGGCTAGACAAAGTAGGTTCATGAAGACAGGGGTTAGTTGGTGTATGGGATCATGATAGTAGGGGCGGGTGGGGAATGATCTCCCCTGAGCTTGTGGTTAGATACATAATAGAGTGGGTTATCTTCCTTGCAAGAAAAGGCTTGAAATATTTGCCAAGCCACCTCCCAAGCAGTACACAAATGAACTGGCCTTCCAAGGGACTTGACCAGTTTGCCGTCCACAGTGCAAAGATAACATCATTGGTCTTTTATCACTATTGTATCCTTGTGGTCCCCCATAGTGTGTGACTTCAGAAATCCCTCCTAAAGAGTCCTCAGTGAGACACCTTGAGAATGTGGAGGTTTCAGATGAAGTTCCCTGCCATAAATGAGTGATTGGGGAGTTCTGAGTTGCTGGCTTTTGTCCACACTGGATTGTTTCCCTTCTCCAGGCCTTAGTTTCCTCCACTTAAAGATAACAGAAGGGTTGGAATCTTTGGTCTTCACAATGCTTTGAAGAGCCTTAGAGGTTTGGAAGAATCCTCTTGTGGGTGGGTTGGGCAAACTGACTGGTGCACTTTAGTTATTTGTTTCATACATTTTCATTTCTGGCAAGATCTAGAGATTTTTAAAACCCTGGATTAAATGATCTCTAGGGTTCCTTTGTACACTAAAGCAGCTAAAGTTGAAATAGGAAAGAACCCCAGACACTCACACTAATTGTTTCCTTCAGGACCTGACCTAGTTTGGGCCAGAAATCCGAGGACTGCAGTTGAGGAGCTGTGAGGGCCTCCCAGGAATATCCAGCTTGTCAGCAGCTGCCTCAGTGAAGTTCCCTGGCCCTGGTGGAGACAGTTAATCAGCAAGATGTTATTGATAATCTATTTTGTGCCCAGCTAGACTAGACACTGTGGGAGAAAGAAAAGTAAAAGTAAAAAGACACAGAACTTGCCCAGGAAGGAGCTTATTGTTTAACTGAAGAAATAAAACTAATAGAAAGAACCATTGCAATGTAATAAAATCAAAATACAATTAAGTTTCAAAATGGCCTGGAGTGATTTTTGAAAGGAATGGGCTTTGAAGGATGAGGCGATTGGAACACCCCACCACTCACATTAGGGTAAGCACATTCGTGGGTGAGAGTTCCTTTGTATCTATCCACATAGACCACGGTGGCAGCAATGCCTCATACGCCACATTGCTTGCCTGCCACAAAGAAAGTTACTTCCTATGTCATTTTTTACTGAAGAGGCTCTTTCCCAAGCCCTGTGTTTCCAGGAGTGACAAGTTACCATTGGATGTGTTTGCAGATCCCCCTCCGCCACAGCAGCAGCCACCACCACCTGCAGATGGGATTCCTCCACCTCCTGCTCCAGGCCCACCCACCTCGGCCACTCCTTAGCCTGGAAGATAGGAAACCTCTACGCCCACCACAAGCTGGAGTGGGGATGACAAGACTTGTGTTCCTCGGCTTCCTTGGTTTTTTTTTTTTTTTTTTTTCAGGAGTTTTCTTCTCGCAGCCCCAAGCACGTGTCCCACGTCCCCACTCCTCTTGCCATCCCTCTCCATGCTCTGTTACCTCTTGTGTCAGGTCCTCAGCTGACACTCAAGGGGAAGCCTGTGGTGACAATGTGTCCTGATCATCTTAAAAATAACCCATACCTCCCCTGTCTTGGTGTGGGAGGTGTTGTCTGTTGATCTGCAGGTCCTGTCAACAGTAGTATTATATGTCTATCATTTTTGCTCTCCTGTAGTGGGTTTTTATTTGTTTGTTGTTGTTGTTGGGGTTTTTTTGTTTTTGTTTTTGTTGGGTTTTGGGTTTTTTTTGTGGGGGGGGTTTGTTTTGTTTTTTTGTTGGGTTTTTTTGTTGTTGTTTTGGGTTTGTTTTTTTGGTCTTATTCTTTTTTGGTACTGGGGATTTAACCCTATCTTTTTCTCCCTGGTTATGGTTGTTTTAAAGGAGAGCATCCTAAGTTAATAGGAACCAAAAAATGGTGATGGGCAGAAGGAGATAGCCACAGGGGACACACCTTAAGGCATTATAAGTGACCTTATTTCTGCTTATCTGAGCTAAGAGTGGTGCTGCTGGTAAAGTTTCCTGAGACTTTTGCCATATAAACATGCACCAAAATTAAGAGAGATAGGAAGAGGCGGGGGGGTACCCCATTGATTTTATTCTCTTATGAGGGCCTCCACCTTGCCTGGCAGAACATAGCTATTTTAACCAGTATGTGGTAGAGGACAGCACAAATATAGAACAAATCCACTCCTTCCCCAGACTCGATGGTTCTGGTTTTCTATGCAGATGATTTGCTGAATTGAGGGGTGGGTATTTTTTTCTGAGGACAGTGTGAGCTTTTAGGGTTGGAATTTGGGGAGGCATTCTTTAGTTCCCTAGGCTACCCAGGAAAGTTTAAGGAGTCTAGAGCAATGGCCTCCCCGTGAACCTAGCCTACTATTCATTGTTTTGTATGCATTCTTTTTTTCTCTCTCTTTAAAAAGCCCTTCAAAAGAGGGGGGGAAAAAGTAGGTAATGCTAAACATTGTAGCTTATGGAACTTGGTTAGGATGGCTGGGGGTCCAAGTCCCCAAACTACCTCTTGCAGTAGCCAGGGTGAGTGGAATTTCATGAAGCGGTACTTAAGGTTCGGGATAGGATTAGAAGAGTGGGAACAGATCTTCAGCCTCTCGTACCTTCTCCCTTCCCTTTCTGAGATTTCACATTCCATCTGTCACAGGGTTGTCAAGGAGGTACTGAGGGTACCAAGGACCTCACTTGGCTCCAGAGCATCATGCTTTAAGGTTTGGGGTGCTTGGGCTGGGAGGGTGGGTTGCCATTCCAGAGGAAGAGCCACAAAAATGCCTTAATTTGAGCCCATATCTACCCCTGCTGATGAGTGACTTGAGAGTCTTTGTTTTGTCTTCTTGTCCTTCTTCCCTCCCTTCTTTCATGAGTAGCAAAAGGGTGTTTTGGCAGATCTTGGTTTCCAAAGCGCCTGGCTTCTTCACTTTATGTTCTCAAGTGGCAGTTACATTATTTAGAATGCAAATTAGAACATCTTTTTCTATGTATTTTCTAAAGCTTTACATATAAGAGGGTGTAGGGACGTGTTTATAAAAACACCATAGAACTTTTCCCCTTAATATCAGAAAGCAAAAAAATAAAACCACAGTTGAGATTTGCCTTTCAAATCCTCAGGTTTGCCTCTATCCAGGTGGCCCTGGTCACCATCAGAGTACTGGAATAGTAGAACCAAGGAGACCTTGTTCCTTTAATGTGTTTGTTCTAGACATTTGGCATGGAAATGGAAATGAGCTTGTTCCAACTGGAGTTTACTTGCAACGTATTAGCCTCCAGAAAGATCCCAGTGCCTTTTGATAATGGCCAGGGTTTTCCCTACTTCCCTCCAGTTTTCCCAAAGGAAACTCATTCCAAATACTTACCTTTTCCGAACCTGGAGTCCTAGAAAGTGTAGTTCTGGTTCATACTGTGGTCCCTTGTAACCTCAGGTCTCTAATGTGATCACTTCAAATTTAAAAGATCCAGGTGGAAATATTTTTACTATGCCAATTATTTTCAAAGTACCTGAATTCAACACTGTTATGTTTCAGTATAAGTGATGACTTTCTTTTCATGTTTTTATCTGGTTTCATTCCTGTATTACAGCCACCCAGGTTTTTTTGTTTGTTTGTTGGGGAGGGGGGTAATATGTGGTTTTGTATAAACATGTTTCTCACTGTGTTATTATTTTGGAAAAATGAGAGGAAGGAGTTTTGAGAGATTGGAAGAAATGAATAAATGAAATACCATTTCTGGATTCTAGTCCCATTTTCTGCATTCATACACCAAGTTCATCATGTATCCAAGAAGAACCTAAAGATTCAGCCCACCTGGTCTTGGTTTGCAGTTAAATTCTATGACTCCAGGTCACTTCTTTGACCACCTTCATGATGCTTCAGGAGCATGCAGTTGATTGTGCCTTGTCCTTGGACAAAGTGAAGAAAGACAAGTGGAAGTTGTCTAGAAAGGGTTGCATCCTGGTGCCTCTAGGGGAGGAATTATCTTGCTTAGTGAGGTAGAAAATGTACAGATTAGACAGCCCCACACTGGAGGCAGGCCTTGAAGACAGAAAAAAAGAGTGCCTAGTTTTCAAGATGCTATGAATCCAAGCATGGTGGCTCACGCCTGTAAAATTCCAGCAGCTCCTGAGGCTGAGACAGGAAGGTTGCTAGTTCAAAGCCAGCCTCTGCAAAAGTGAGACACTAAGCAACTCGGTGAGACCCTATCTCTAAATAAAATACAAAATAGGGCTGTAGCTCAGTGGTTGAGTGCCCTTGAGTTCAATGCCTGATCCCCCACCCCCCCTGAATAAACAAATAAATAAAATGGTATGAATCCAAAAGAGGAGGATTCTGTCTGCCATGACGTGAACACCCAACTCAAGAGTTTTCAAACAAGTGTGGATCAGGATCATCTTCACAGACAATCTGATGGACCCTGCTGTCAGCCACTGATGAGTTCTGGAGCCTTGTGTTTCCAGGGGATGCTGATGCTGGTCATGGTATCATCCTTTGAGAATGATACTGGTTAAGAAAGCTAAGTGCTTGAACAGAATCTCTACAGTTCCCTCTGTGAGACCTTTCATCCAGTAAACATTTAAGTACCTACTAAGTGCCAGCTATGAGAACTTGCAAACAGTGAAGTCTTAGTTGTGAATAAGGTAGGCAAGGCCCATGCTATCCAGTCCACTTATATTCTGGTGGCGTGGGGGATGCCAGACCATAGTTAATAACAAGTACTAGCACTTTACATAGTGCCAAATTTTCATGAGGAAAATGAAACGGCATAATCAAAGAGTTTCCTCTGAACATCTGGGAGATAATGTGAAAGATCTGAACTGTGATTTATCTCATGCTGAATATGGTACCCTAAGAGATAGATCTTCATTCCTTCCAGTAAAATCTCCACCTGAATAATCAGGGCACCCATTTGCCTGGATTCATTATATCAGCTCATGAGAACTCTCCATCTTTATCATAAAACCCCCTGTTCTCTACAATTCTTTAGAGCATATTCTGTTCATGTTTGATGGGGCTTCTCAATCCCTATCAGTGAATGATCTTCACTTAAGGAGGTCCTCTTTCAGAATAGGATACAAAAGTATATCTATGGAGAAAGTCATACCCTCCTCCAAGCCCAGGTCCCTCAATGTTGTACCTCCTTGTAGACTGTTCCACTTAAACTGTTACCTGTGGCTCATTTTTAGGCATGCCACCACTCCAGTAATTAGGGAGTACTTTTGAGCCTGAACTTGGAACAGAGCTAAGATTGTTATATATGAAGAGTGACCATAGGGAAGAAGAAAATTAAATGGATCAATGCAAACAGTTTCCAGAACCAACCATAGATCCCTCTGGAATCACCTTGTCCTACTCTGATTCTTATGGGGACTCCAGGACTCAAGAGGTCCTTTTCGGGTCCCTCTCCCTACCCTGGGCTGCCTTGCAGAATTGGAGCTATCTTTACTACTACTATCTGAAGAGGCCTTTCCCTGCTCTTCTAACTCAATGAAGAGCAACCAGGTGACTCATTTTAAGCAGCAACCCTTCCCTTTGAGGCAAATACCACACCTACCTTTAGAGTACAACTTTTGCAGGCCTCAGCAAAATAGTTATTTCTTAGTACTACTGTACATTGACTGCCACCTACATACAAATGGCAAAGGAAAGAGGATTCCACTCTAGTTCTGTGGCAATCTAATGTGCCTTCACAACAGGTGGGGTGGTGGGGCCATAGTCCTTTTGCACAGGCTAGTTTCTATGGCTTGTTTAGCCTGCCACTGACAGGTTCCTATGGCCATCTGGATTGTGGCATCCTGAGCTCATTTCTGCAGTGCTGCAGGATCCCTGAGAAGAGCTTAGGTCACCTGCTGAGGCAGCAGGTCTGTTCTGCAGACAATCTAGTCATTCCACATCTGAGGCTATCTGTGTTGGCTTCCCTTATGTGGTTGTCTCACAACTGGCTTGGCTTTGGGATTACGGTTAGAAATTCAGGAGACCTTTCATATCTGGTATTGCCTCAATAAGGTGACCAGGTTGAACCTTCCTCTGAGAGTATTTTGCTCAGCTGAGAATTCAGAGTTCCCTGCATGAGGATGTTATAGTCAACACAAAGGACTCAGACCCCAGACCACTTAGCCCTTCTCTTCTTCCTGGGAATGGCATAAATAGATCTATTCCCAGTAGCCCATCACCAAAAACAATCAGATTTTTCCTGCAGTCTATAACATGGGTTATATTGTTCCCTGTTAAGAATCATAGTGTTGGGCTGGGGATGTGGCTCAAGCGATAGCTCGCTCGCCTGGCATGTGTGAGGCCCGGGTTCGATCCTCAGCATCACATACCAACAAAGATGTTGTGTCTGCCGAAAACTAAAATATAAATATTAAAAATTCTCTCTCTCTCACTGTCACTCTCTCTTAAATATTAAAATTCTAAAAAAAAAATCTGTCGGGGATGGGTTTGTGGCTCAGTGGCAGAGCACTTGCCTAGTATGTGTGAGGCACTGCATATAAATAAAAAAGGTCTGTCGACAACTAATTTTTTAAAAATCAATATTAAGTGTCCAGGTGAAAGGAACTTGGGGAGGGGAGGAGACGGGGCTTCCACTGATGCCCTACCTCCCTGTCCTGATTCCCATTGGAGCATTCAGAAAACTAAAGTCTCAATGTGTTAGTGATTAATAC